TAAGTCAATAGATTTATAGGCAGCACAACTGGTTAAATATTTCTGATGCCTCTTAACAGAAATGTAATTGAGATGCTCATACAATGTTTTCGGAAGTAATGTTAAAGCTGAAGGAATTTTGAAGTCTATTACATAAAGTTTAGTTGAGGTAATAAGCTTTTATAGTCTAGACTTTTCTTGGTAAAACAAGCTTAAGGAAAAATTCACTTTGTTTTAATCCAAAACCACGCATAAAAGCAATATCCTATTTCATCAAAGGCCTACAGAACAGTTTGAAAGAAGGCAAGTGTGCTTTCTTAGCACTTTTCTTCTAGCTGATGGTGTTGCCATGTAAGAGAAATTGGCCTGCTTGACAGTTTCCTGTAGGGAGATGTAAACGTTCTGTAACAACAGAAGAAATTTGTCTCCCAATCTAACTGTTATTGTAGCCACACAAAAGAACATACAAAAATGCTGTAAGTAACAGAAGCTGAGGCAGTGTTTGAACAAGTGACTTCCAATGCTCTTTTTAGGTTTTGAATACTTTTTAGTATAGTCTCACACTTCACAGTGTTAATTGTGGCACAGATGAGAAGACGACTGATTTGTGCATTAAAGAAATATCTGTACAGTGAATATTCTTTTAAATGTCAGTTTCCTTAGTTCTCCTAAAACCTTAGATTATGCCTAATGTACAGGATGCAATGTGATCCCTCATAGAAACGGGGTAGCTCAGTTAATGTTTAGGTGCAGTAGTACACATCTCCTTTGATTTTCCTCCCTGAAAAGAACATGGTACATGTGCTCATGCAGTGCTACAGCAGCTTTGGCACAGCTGGTCATACCTCAGTACTTGAGGTATTCCTGCAGCGCAGCATCAACGCACTGTAAACATGCTGTGCACTGTAAACATGCTGTCCGCCGTACTGGGGTCACAAATGATCTCTCCCTACATCTTTATTATGTTTTCCCTTTCACCCTGTTTGAACTGTACATAGAGAATAATGGAAGCAGAGAAAGGTTTGGGTTGGAAGGGACATTTAAAGGCCATGAGTCCAACTCCTCTGCCATAGACAGGGACATCTTCAACAAGGTCACATTCAGAGCCCCATCCAACCTGACATTTAATGTTTCCAGGGATGGGGCATCTACCTCCTCTCTGGGCAACCTCTGCCAGTGTTTTACCACCCTCATTGTGAAAAATTTCTTCCTTATATCTAATCTAAATTGACCCTCGTTTAGTTTAGAACTGTAGCTTAAGTGAACTTAGAACCTTTACCCTTTGAGACTGCTCTTAATTTTCTGGTTTTGTTCTGTTATTTAAGAGCAGGGTACAAATGTGTTAGGAAAGATCTAAGTCTGTGCTAACACTACAACCTTACAAATACATTTTACCAAATAAATTTTACCAAATAAATATTTCTCCTCATAATGGGTGCCACTCATCTGCTGGGTGTCAACAGATTCCTGTTGTTCAAAGTGTGTTCTACTTTATGAATCTCTTAGTGGGTTAGAATCCACCTGTTTTTTTTCAGTAGAGTTCTGCAGAACATCTCCTGCTAGCACTAGGTTTTAATATAACTGCATCACATCACAGAGGTTTTTGTTCCTCCTCCACTACTTCATATCCCTTAATCTAAATAACAGAGTAAGGGATATGAAGTAGTTATTATCTAAATAATAACTACTCCAAATCCCTTAATCTAAATACTGACATATTTTTGCTGAAGTTGAAGAATTTTTTTAAACGCGACTCTCCCAAGAGTTTTATCAGGGGTTTAAAAGCCACACGGTATATACTCAGTTATTTTTCAAGAACTGAAAACATTTGCCTACAAACATCTATCTTACCACATAATATTTCTATACTAGATATGAAGCACAGATGTTCTATCTAGACTGTGCAAGACCCCTCACATACACTATTTGTACCTGACGAACAGCTGAGAAATTGGCCACCTGCTGCTGCTGCCACCTGAGCGTTGGAGAGTATCCTTCAGGAGCAGGCTGACATCCGGAAATCTGAGAAAACACTGGCAATAATTATAATGTAAAGAGAGTTTTATAAGAAGAATCCTTAAGAACAAGAGAATCAGTAAATCTTTACTGTCAGGTAAACAATATCCTTTAAATCTTCATCTAAGGTAATTTAATGACCACATTCCAGACTGATTTAAGAGTTGGTTTAGACAAAATTTCTTCTGTCTGACTCATATGTACACAGAAAAGAGAACTAGGTACTCAAAATGCATTGTCAATATTTAGGATCTTCCTTTTAGCAATTGTTCTGCCTTAATTTCCCTGTTTATAAAAATCAGGGTGCTGTTTCTTTATCTTGGACAAATGCTATCAATCTTAAGCATTCTACTTGTCAAGATAATACATTCAGGAAGACAGATGACCACAAAAACATCTTCTAGGAAATTAACTCTAACAATTAAGTAGATATAACCTTTTTAAAGATTAGCATGAAACAGCTATTAAAAAAATCAAAATCTTCCTACAAGTGTTTGAGAATTCTGCTACAGACAGGTGAAGACAACGGTCACAGAAGTTACATGGTCATGTCAGAAACATCACCAGAAACTTCCCCTGAGCAATCTAGTAGTGAAATTTCAGATTACATAGAGAACGGCAAACTTGGTCTGTTGAACTATTTGAAAGCAGATTAAAAACCAAGCTGGCAGGCCAGTGTAACAACAGAAAAATCTGCCTGGGCAGTAAGGAAAAAATCCAATAAAATGTTTTACCAATAAGGATAAAATGGTGGTAGAATTTCATCTAATTTTAGTAAAGCTCAGCTGCACTTACTACTCTTACCCTAGATATAAATTGAAACCTTAAGACAGGTATGGAGAGATCTAAAATTTATGCAGGTTAATTTAATTTGTAAAATTTAATGCAGCATTTGATTTCCTCAGACAGTAATAGTCTGCTCTATATCATATAGTATGAATATTATCAATTTAATAAGTTATAACAATTGCTGTTAACCAGCAGTTGTACAGGTGCTTCCTCAAATCCAGACATTTAATTCTGTAGATGCTTTTAAAATCCAGCAGTGCTATTTACTTATGCCGACTTCCCAAAATTAGTATGAACATCATATTAACATTGTTACCCTTTATTTTTTCCCTTCTCAAAATGTGTAAAAGCTCTCAAACTTACTGAAATGTTTACTGTCTGTTTCTTTTTCAATTTTCTTGGGTCTATTTTTGCCACGACCACATCAGGACATCGTGCGGCTTCAATCCTACAAGACAAAATCAAGTGGCTGTCTCTGAAACACTCCTAGAATCATGGAAAGCATGAGTTGGAAGGGACCCATCAGGATCATTGAGTCCAACTCCTGGCCCTGCGCAAGGCACCTCAACAATCACACCATGTTCCTGAGAGCATTGTCCAAACGCTTCTTGAGCTCTGTCAGGCTTGGTGGTGTGACCACTTCCCTGGGGAGCCTGTTCCAGTGCCCAACCACCCTCTGGGTGAAGAATCTTTTCCTGATATCCATCAGAAACCTCCCCTGACTCAGCTTCATGCCGTCCTAGTGACGCCTGTCACTAGGTCGCTAGAGCGAGGAGAGCGGTACCTGCCTGTCCTGCAGGTGTGTGTGACACGGATTTGCCGGGGAAGGGCAGCACCGCTCGGCCGCCCTGGCGCGCCCGGACGCGGAGCTCGGCCCGGGCAACACGGGGGCCGCGCCGCTCTAGCGGGGAGGTGACGGGCCCGCCCCGAACCATCCTCCCCGCCACTCACTGGACGCGCTTCAGATACTCTTGAGGTGTCCTGGGAGGCACCGTGGGGTCGAAGTCCTCGGCCAGGTCCCAGTCCTCCACGGGCAGCAGCCGCGGCATCAGCTCCTCCGCGCCCGCATCCATGGCTGGTCGGCGCTGCTCTCGCGAGAGCGGCGGAGCGGGGGGCGGGGCCGCGCCGGTACCGGGAGCGCCACCGGAGGGCTGTGGTGCCTTTGGGGAGCGGTGGTTCCTTTAGGGAGCGGTGGTGCCTTTAGGGAGGATGGTGCCTCTGGGGAGCGGTGGTGCCTTTAGGGAGGAGAGGGGCCGTGGGGAGCGATGGTGCCCTCGCGGAGCTCTGAAGGCGCCCCGGTAAGGGAGTCCTGGCCGTGCGCTTTGACGTGTCGCGACCTGCTCTGGGCGTTTTGGCTGCCCTGAAAATCCCGTGAGGGGAGTTTGGCCCAAGAGCAGAGCAGAAAGGGGTTGTGCCAATTTACTGCCCATCATGAAACTGGGCCAGTTGTCCGAAAACGTGGAATGTGTAAAATTTTTACACAGAAGAAGAAGGGAGGTTGAATCCGTGAAACAGAGAGCAGCTAACAAGCTCTAAGCGATGCCCAGGTGTTAGAAAGACAAACTACTTGTTGGTAGATTTGTCTTATTAAGGTTTAGGGCTGGACATGCTTCAAACGTGTCAGACCTCGGGGGAGGTTAACAGAGGCTGGGAATAAGGATGTGACACAAAGAATGCAGAATTTGTGGGCCACAAGGACATTTGGTAGAACTCCCAAGATAAAGAAGAAACTAATAAAGCCAGCTCAGCCGCTGTGCTGATCCAGCTCCAACTGGGTTAAAGGTAATTCTGGCAGGGGCAGATCGCGACCACCGACTCAGAAAATCCACCGATCCAAAAGAAGAGAAAGACTGGGCATGCAGACTAGTTATTATGAGCAGTGAGAGAATCATTAACCAATAGAAGATAGAATGCTAATTAATAAGAGTTCTAGGTACCTTGTAGCAAATGAACATTAATGCCTTTGTTTGCGTAAATGTATAAATGGTGAAAAGTTTTGGTAGTCATGTTGCTGGCTTTGTGAATTTGCCACCCAGCAAATTCTTCTCTCAGCGCAGAACTGTAAATAAATACCTCAGCTCTGTGTGTGGATTGGCCTCTTGCACATCGAGTGAAAGGATGTATTTTGGGACAACGCTGTTTTTGGTGAAGAGGTGTTAACCTTTAATAATCAATTTCATAAGGCCCTGTGTTATTATTTGAATACACCATAGTTTTTGCAAGTAACTCTTTACAACTTAGCCATTAGTATTCTCTATTTTACCTGCGAACACCCGTTAATAATAATACTTGTCCCTTCTTTGAAATACTTTGAGATCTGTGGTTGAAATCAGTTACATAAAGTTAATTGCTATAAATTTACAGAGAGTTCTCATTCTGAAAAGGTCAGTACCTGAGTTGTTCCTGTATGCGTTTATCTGAAGACTATTATGTGGGAGCACCCAAATGCCAGGAAAGTAGCACAAAGGGGGGTTGCTTCTCAGCTAAGATAGAAAGCAGAAAGATGCTGCTGTAATAATTTACATTGTGTTTTATGAAATTCCTGTTACACAAAATGTCGATCTGTATATGATCTTTCCTATTCTGCATGTGAAGTCCTTTTGGTGCTAGCCAAAGTCCATCTAGTAGATCAGAGTAGTTCTAGATACTTCTGATGTAAGTTCAAAAATGAGGAATGCCTTTTTTTTTTTTTTTTTTTTCCCTGCAAGGCTGTGTTTTAGCAGTTCTAATCAAACACTTACCCTAACTCCTCCTCTCCAAGGGCTTTTGTTTGTTTTGAGGTGTTTCCAAAAGCACTTACGTGTACCAGGGAGTTCTAATTCTGAAACCCGGATCTAAGGTCCTAGTTGAGTGTGCAACAGTTGCAGTCACCCCTAGAAATAAAACTTGCTTTGCTAAAACTACAGTGATAACTCTGGACAGACTCAAGACAAAAACTTTGGTGAGTCCAGTTATAAAAAGTTAATTTCTAATAACTTCTAATATTCAGAACTTATTTTTCCTACTTCTTGTAAAGTCAAGAACTATGAACAGAAAGAGAATTTACAGATATAAATATATTTTAAATATACTTTCTGTCGTTAGATTACTTTTTCTGGAATTTTCCATTGATACTTTTTAAACAAAGTAACAGGATTTTAATTACTACAGGTAGTCTTTCACAGGTAATAAAATTGTTCCTAACAAGTTTTACTGACAATGCTGATGCAATGGCAAGCAAATATGACTCAGTGGAGAAAGAGGAAAAGGAACTGGAAATGTATATTCTTTCTCCTCAACTCCTTATGGAAGAGTATTTTTCCAACGAAAGGGTAAGATGCATTAATGGATATGCATTGCTGGCTAAAAAAATTAAGAATCTAACACATAAACTAAAAATTCTGAATTAAGAAAAATTAAATGCTTTCAATCTACTTTCTAATACTGGGAGCTAATAAAATATTTTCTTATAGTGAGTATATACCTGGTTTTTGTTCTATTTTTTCTTTCTCCTTGATTTTCTCTGTGGTTTGCACCACCATAACAGCTGCAAGACTTTTTTTGAAATTTAGAGCATTGGATTGAGTTATTATGTAAAGAAATTTAATTGTGCTAATGACTGATTAAAAAATACTATATACCTTTTATTAGCAGTGAACTTTCAGAGGAGCATACTCTCTTATTTTCCCTTCTTCTCCTTTATGTGTCTTAAAGTATCAGTTGCTTCTTTTTTCTCTTGTTTACTGTTCATCCCACAGCTTTGATTTTGGGACTTGCCTCTTTTTAATGTAACTTTCTGAAAATGTTTCACAAAGTATTTGAGTACTTTGAAATTATAACACTGAATTGCTTTCTGTGCATCTGCTTGAAGTTCACTCTGTTCTGGGATTTTGGTGTGTGGGTTTTTTGTTTGTTTGTTTGGTTGGTTGGTTTTTTGTTTTGTTTTGTGTTTTTTTTGGTGTTCAAACTGAGGAGGCTATGTGTCCTTGGCAAGTTCCTGCTTAATATTCCCACAACTGGCAGTGAGATTTGGGGACGAGAAAATTTAAAATCCCTTCCTTGAAGTTCTGCTTTTGTTTACATGCTCATGTTTTTAGGCTGAAGAGGATTGGGAAACTATGCTGGAGATAATAATAGCATAGAAATTCTATCATAATCACATTTGACATGTAAGAAAAGAGGATAAGGATGTTTTAGTAATTTATATTTGTTTGGAGGTCATAGCATGGTTTTCCGAGTTGCAATAAAGTAGGACGGGGTAGTCAGTCAGCAGAATGTTTTTCAGTCCTTCCCCGTGTCCAGATTGGTTGCAATGAGATATCTCAGGAAAGATAGAAGTTACTGTTCTAGCCTTTTGTGGCAGGCTTGTTAAAAACGATTCCTGAAACTGAAGCGTCACTATAATTAGGGTTTGGGGGATAAAAAGATAACCACATTAACAAAAAAACCAAACAAACCCATACAGTTATGTTTACGTGAAAGTTATTGTGCAGATAATAAATAAACACGTATTTATAAATATTTCTAGATATGAGGTATTGTTTCAGGCTAAAACCCACCAGGGATATAATTTCAGTATATTTTTCCCCAGGAACGCCGAAGAAATATGTAAACAATGTTCCAGATTAAAAAGTTGCCTTAAGTACACCTGGTGGAAGATGGCAACGAGCAGGGTGAGCTCAAGGACTCCCGGAAACCCGGCTGGCTCGGTCCTGAAGAATTCCCAGACGGACAGAGTAGCTGCGGACAGAGTGGCACCTGCGGGCACAGGCGCAGCCCCAGCGCTGCTGGGGGTAGAGGAAGCGAAACTGCCCCCGATTGCCGCGATGCCTCCTTTCCTGGACGGACTGGGGATGGAGACGGCGGCCCGCGGGGCCCCGGCGGGGTGTCCGGGGCGGGGAGCGGCGCTGAGCCCGCCCCGCGCTCTGCCCCTTGACGTGGCGCGGACTCTCCCATCAGCCATGTTGATGCGTCGGCAGCGCCGGGGCGGCAGCGGCAGAGCGGGCGGGCGGCGAGAGCGGCCACGGCGAGAGCGGCGGCGGCGGCCGGGACGCGGGGTAAGTGGGCAGGGCAGGGCTGAGAGTGCAGCGCAGGGTGCGGCCAGCCCGAGCGGGCCGTGCTGGAGGTGCCGCGAGGAGGACGGTCCTTCGTCGGCGCCGTGGCGGCAGCCGCGCCCCCCGCGCTGCGGGGTACGGGTACACCCGGCCTCGCTGCCGGGCCCGGAGCGAGTGTGGTGGGAGCTCCCCACCGTGGCAGTAGGTGATTCCCGGGCGGCCCGACGAATCTGGGGACTCCCGGTGGCCCTGAGGGTCCGGGGGTACTGCCGGCGGCGGGTCATCAGTTCCCGCGGCCTCCCGGGCCGGGAGTGCGGGCGCCCTTTCCGTGCGGCGGGGAGCGCCCGCCCGGGCCGGGGTGTGCTCGGGCCGCCGAGAGCGCCACGATTCACCGGGGCTGCCGGAGCTCGGGTAGGGCCGGCGGGGCACGGCCTTTGCGCGGCCGTCGCTGCACCCGGGGTAAAGGGCGGCTCGCTCCGGCAGCGGCCGCGGTGCTCCTTGCCCAAGCTGTTCTGTACCCGCGTCGTTGTGCCGCTGGCGGGGGTGCCTTGAGGTGTAGGTAAAGCTGTACAAAATGCAAGCCCTGCTGCGTTTGAGTGTGTGTTTCTTTTCTAATTTAGGTGGATTATTACATACTTGAGTTATTAAAAAAAAAAGAAAGTCCTCAGTAAGCGGACTGGGAGAACAGGTTTGGAGGATGACTGTGTTTGAGTAGTGGAAATATTGTCAGTCTGACAGCTTGCAGTTGCTTTAGATAACTACTTAGCCGTTCTCCTTGTGCATTTGAGTTCCTCCTTGGATCTGAAATAGATTTGTACGTGATGAGTGATTTGGGCATTAAAAAATTAATTAAAGTTTTATTACTTTTCTCTTTTACCAGATTGTTAGTCCATAATACACTGAAAGTAGATGTTTTGTGAGAAAAGTGCACAGTGAACTGTTACTGATCTAGTGGTATTTAAACACATAACCATATGAGGGACTCTTGTCCATCCTTACAATGCTGTAAGGAGAAATGCTTTGATTTTTTTTGGTAGGTGCTTCTAAAGAATTATGGATATTGTTTTGGGGATATTCCGTATTGGGACAGATTTACCTGGGATGTATAAAGTTTAAAGATGCTGATAGTCAACCAGTGATTCTCTATGCAATTCAAGCGTGGCTTCTTTTGTGACACAGATTGTCATGGTGCAGGGATGCAAGGTACATTCAACCGTAGCAGTGGGAGGTAGAAGGGAAACCAGAAAGGACTGCTGGTTTTGTCTGGATATCCTAATCTGCAGCAAAGGTAAAGCAGTGACATCCCAACATGGGAACTGTTGCTTTCAGCTCTTCTGAAAATCCCTTCTCTGTGGTTTACTGAGGGCAATATGTATTTTGTGGCATTTGGATATCCACAGTTTGTTGTGTAGCCTGTAGGTCAGGAGGGTGTGCTGTTCTTGTATAATGCAGTACCTCTCCACAGCTATCCTAGAAAATGTGCCTGCATAGCTGTGAAAATGGAATGTAACTTGTCAGACGAAGAGTCCACATTTGATGAATGATGAAATAGGTAAGCATTATTGGCTCTTAAAAAGGAAGAAAAGAATGGAAGAAAAGATGGAGGCGAAAGTAAGTACTAGCAGGTTTTGCCTTCTGAATAGGAAGTACATGCCTTTTAAGAAAGTAACAGTATTAACTCAATAAATCAAAAAAGTCCTTTATGTATATGTGTATGTATGTGCATATTATTAGTCACTACACACTGCTTGTACATTGCCCTCTAAGGAGCAGTAACTGAGTGGTAAAAGTAATGTCTGCATAAAGCCATTTCAAACATTGCTAGAATAAAATGTTGAGAAAACAATTTGAAGTCCAGTACAGAAAGTGTGAGTTCACATTGCAGTGTTTGGAGCTGGAGTTGGTGTACTCTGTAGCCGATGCCAATGAATGACTGAAATAACCTTTAAATTGCAATTTAGTCTGTCTTCTCAGATCATTTTTTAAAGGAGAGATTATTCAGTTTGTGGTTATAGCGGATATAGTTGCCTAGTGCAGATTCTTGCATCAATACCCCATTTTTCAGGGATAATGCTCCTTCACCTTTTTTACAAAACACTGATGGATTTTAATCTGTTAGGGGAGAAATTTCTTAAATTCTGGATCCTCTTCAAATACCAGGCTGTTCTTTCCTCTCTCAGCTGAATTAACTTCTGTCTCAGATCTCTCTGTAGCAATTATAACCTCCAGATATTTTCTCCTTTTTCTCAGTTTTGTCCCCTGCCTGATGGCGTTGCAGCAATTTGAGTAAAAGTGATGGTGGAAGTGCTCTTATGCACAAAGTCCTGTATGCTTCCTGTGTTGCAATTGCCATGACTTGTTTAGATAGGAGCAGATTTGCACCTAGTATTGGTAAGACATGCCCATTAAAATGTTGGCAGTTATTTCCTAAGGATATTAGCTCTGAAAACTGGTACTTCTCTTTGTATTTTATCTGTTTTCTTAAAAGTCAGCATTAGAATAAAACCATCAAGTTAAACTATAATTTAAAAAAATTTGGAAAGGTTTTATCTGTCATAGAAATGCCATTATAATTTTGGTAAATAGAGGTAGGCTTTGATAAATGGAGAATTTCTAGGAGTCTCCCATAGGATTAAGAATTAAGTGTGCTTGTGAGAATTCCTGATTTAAACCCCAGTTCAGGAGGTTTCCATCATTTCTAATAGCTGTTCATTAACTTAGTACAGTCTAAATTGAGGCCTAGGAGCATTTTTACTTCCTCTTACATAGTTCATGTAGACTTTTATGGTAAATTCTTGATTATTAGCCAGTATGAGTTTAGATATCCTAAATCCTGGAAAAAACTGTGCTGTATGTACTATAAAAGGTATTGGGAAGCATGTAACAGGTATTCAAGAACACTGTGTGTAAAGCTGAGGTTTTTGTTTTGGAGGGGACGTAGTGCACTCCTTTCTGGCTGTCCCGGATGTTCACAGGTACTGTTGAGCATTTCAGATGTGTCTGTGTTTCCCAGTGGTCCAGCTTCTGAGTAATCATAGCTGAAAATTTTGAAAGCCTTGGGTCAGTGCCCTAAATTGTAAATTTGAATTAAAAAAATTGTTGAAAAGTGCTTCATGATAGAAAATGTATTGGAATATGGCACTTGTATTTCTTATGAAGTTATTTCCTAGCATTGCTGTAGGAAAGTACTCTTGTGGAATATCATGTTGATACTCCTTTATGTTTGCATGTAGGCAGCATCCTGAGTTACTGAAAATGTGGTTAGAAAACTCCTACAAAATTTTATACAGCAGAAGACATAAAACAAGTACTCTTAGGAGAAATTCTTTCTACTGTTTCATTGTTAAAATAAGTTAGAGAATTAAAACAATTTGCAAGAATGACTGTCTGATTTTTTGTTAATGAACAGAATGAACAACTAAATGCATTAGTGAAAGTCCTTAAAGCTGTGTGTATTTTTTGTAAGCAAGTCTTTTTTTATTATATTAGTTTACTGTATAATCTCTACTCTGACCAACCCTAGAATTATTGCTTTAGTTATAACACTCCTTGCCTGAGTTTGTCGCTTAAGTCAAGAAGTGATCAGAAGATAGGTATTTTTACACTATTTAACTTGCAGTATATAATCTATTTTGAAGGAGTTGCTGCATCCTGCAAGTCTTAATTTTTTTGTTTCCTCTTAGAATTCTGCACACTGCTTTTAGGATTTAGGAAGCACTACTTAGTATTTTATTGATTGTAACTCAATTACAGTATTTGAATAGTGACTGTTATAAAGTGCATTCAATATTTAGTGGTTAAAAATGTTTGTATTTCAACATTCTGCTAATGGTTATCTTTTTATTTTAGTGATAAACAGAGAAGTTGACCATGACTACCTTCCTGGAATTTATCCAGCAGAATGAGGACAGAGATGGAGTTAGATTCAGCTGGAATGTTTGGCCTTCAAGTCGTCTTGAAGCTACAAGAATGGTAGTCCCAGTGGCTGCGCTCTTCACGCCACTGAAGGAACGACCAGACTTGCCTCCTATTCAGTATGAGCCGGTTTTGTGCAGTAGGACCACGTGTCGAGCCGTTCTGAATCCCTTATGGTAAATCTAATGCATATGTTATTACAGTATTTTGCCTTAAAATCTCGAGAATAGTGCTAATTGAACTGTGCAAAAGATCTGGTGTATGCAAGTTCAAGTGATCCTCACATGAGTGTACAGCTCAGACTTACAGATCTTAGGCGGTTCTGCACATAGATTTGCATAGGTAACATATGTACTTAAGACACAGCTTTCATTTAAGGAGTCTTTTCAATGTACTTAATTATTGATTAGGTATGTTATTTTTCTGGAACTATACATCTTGGGAGTTAGTATACTCCTAACATTTTGCCTCTAGAAAGTGACTTGCAGTAAAAAGTTACAATACTGTATCTTTTGAACTGTTGGGCCCTAATATAGTTTAATTTCAAAGTGAAATAAACTATTTTTATTACTGACCTTAGTTCATTTGTAGATCAAAGCAGGGTAGCTGGTTTAGTTTACCAAAACAGAAGGTGATAGACAGATAGATGGATAACATCAGAAGTAGGCATGAGAGAGGGTGAAAAGCTGTTTGAGCTAAAGGGTAATACTAAGGATAAAACTAAAGGATAAGTTTAGGTTGGAAGCAAAGGAGGTGTTTCATATGTCATTCCTGTTACAGTAATATGGAAAAGAAACAGGACAATTTCTAAGTTGGAGTTTGATAGGCATGGGAAAGATTCTGAGTGATAGTGAGAGATTAGACGTGATGTAAAAGATCCTGTAGACCAAATTCAGGTTTATGAATGACTTGTCCCTGGCTGGGAGAAAAGACAGTTTTGAAGCAGATGTAAAATTGTGCTTCAGTATTAAACACAGTGGCTGATTGTGCTGGAAG